TGGACTCCAGCTCCCAGAATTCCCCAGCCATCTTGCTGATGAATTCTTGAGATATTTGGACTCCAGCTCCCAGAATTCCCCAGTCAGCCTGATGAACTTTTAAGATGTGGGGACTTCAACTCCCAGAGGACTTCCCCCTTGGCTGGCTAGGGAATTCTGGGAGTTGGTCTAAGCAGCTTAAATTCACCAAGTGTCCTGCCCCTGGCGGAGACTGACCCTGAGGAAGAGGAGGAACAGCCAGCAGGGAGTGGGAGTGTGGCTCCGGAGGTTGTGGAGGAGGCTGGGGAAGGGCACAGGCCGGCTGAGCAATCAGAGGAGGACCCAGGCCCATCCCCTCTCCATCCTAGGTCGCGCAGGGAGGAGAGGATCAGAGAAAAGTGAGGTCTACTCAAGAGATTACCATGATCCCCCTCGTGGCTTGCAGTTGGGAGCTATGTATATAAGTTTGCAACTGCGCAGTCAGAATTGCTGGAGTCAATTTAGTGTTTCGTTTGAAAGAGGTTTATCTTTGCTGGCGTTCTTCCCATGGACTCTCCTCAGTTATTTTCTTGGAGTTTATGATTAATTATCTTGGCTTGCTTCGGAACTCTGGTCAAATGCGGTTTGTTTTGGTTTTCTGTTTGCCTCATTGTTTACTTTTGTGACTTTAAACTGTGCCTAATAAAACAGTGAAGTTAAGTTGAAGGCCTTACCGGACTTTTAAGGTATGTTTTGGGTTTGGGGTTATTTTGAGAGACGACGGGTCATCACGTTAAGGTTGAGATACACACTGCTATTACATACACCAGAATTGGGGAGTGAAAAGTTACGGTTGGAAATGTAGTAGATGGATTGCCAGAATCAGCTTAGCGGACCCCAGTGCCCCCCCCTCTCCCCGCCCCGCTAATCCCTTACCTTGGTGCAACAGGTTCTGAATAATCCTCCATCTCGCTCCCTGAGCTGGCCGAGGTGCGTTTGCTGCGGAAACTTTCCACTGGGGGTAAAAAAAAAAGAAAGGAAAGTGGCATTTTGGGCAGGGTCTCACCAATCCCCCTCCAGGGGTGATTCCACGCTCGTGAGTCACCAAGTCTCCAATGTGGTTGTAAGTTGAGGAATACACCCCCCCTCCCCTTTTTTGCAGCCTTCCTTAAAAGAATGCCACGGCCGTTAAATGAAGCAGTGGCTCACGATAAGTGTGGTTTTTTTGCCAAAAATCAGAAATTCTGGAGGATTTTTGCGGTTTTTTTCTGCAAAACCATTGTAAACTGCGTTCAAGAGACTGTGGGATGCTGCCAATTGCTCTAAAGGCAGTTCTATTGCCGAGCATACGGTCACATGATTGGAGGTGTGGTGTGGTTCGCCGGTAGCAGGTGTGACGGCTGAGGTCTCAGAAAGCGAGGACTCAGAGGGGCCTGCGTGTGATGTAGGGATGGGGCCAGGACCATCAGGGCGTGGAAGGCTGCCTTCGGAGAGGGTGGAGGCTGGCAGCAGTGATGAAGAGCACCCCGAGGAGCCTGTGCCCAGGGCGTGTGGGCGCAGGGCTGCTCGAAGGAAAGAGCAGCTGCAGCAGCATGGGCGACTCGGGAGTAAGGCTGCAAGGTAATGGCCCCTCCCTTTAGAGATCAAAGCCAGCTGAGAAACCGCAGCTCTTTGCAGGAAGCAAAGAAGTTCTTGCACTTCAAGTCTTGTGGAAGTTTGGACTCTCCTGGTTTGGAGACTCTTTGTGTTGGAATTATTGCTTAGTAACTTTATCCGGTGTTCTTGGCAGCCTCGCACCACCTTGGCAAGGCTCGTTCTTACCTGGGACAATTCGTTTTAGTAGCGTTTTTACTGTGAACGAACGGAATTCACAGAGAAGCATTAAAAGGTTTCGCTTTTATCTCTGTTTGGTGTTTGTTTGCTTGGAAGGAGGCTTGGGTCAGAACAGGTGGCAACCTTTGAATCTAGTTTGTCAATTACACACACACACACACACACACACACACACATTGCTAGCTTAGTCAGAGGTAAGCAATCAGTCATAAGTTGGTGTTGTGGCCTGTCGGCCGCCGGTCCCTCCAGCAGCCGAATCAGAGGAGGAGGAGGCGGCGGTGTGGGAGTCCGGATCAGCACCCAGTCAACCTGAGAGCTCCGAGGGGGAAGAGGGAATGGCGCTGTCAGAGAGCGAGAGGCGGGGCCTGGGCCGTCCGTCAGCCCTCAGATGGGGAATCAACAGCCCCCAGGTGTGGAGGTGGCTGATGAGGAAGAGGAGGAACAGCTGCGTCCGGGGCCCGATTACATGGATTGTAGAAGGCAAAGGAGAGGAGAGAACAGGGGAAATCTATGGGCCGGTTCTTGGGACGGAAGATCCAACAGTGATAACCAAGCTCCATCCTAGATATGGGGGATACAAGGCAGGGGGAGGAGGTGAATAGATGTGGCAGACAACGGTTCCTCTCTCTGCCGGACTGACTGGTTAGCCTGCGGTGAGAGAGAAACCTTTTGTCGGGGCTGCCGGCGTTTCTAATAATGGAATCTTTTGAGTTCACGTCGGAGAGTTTGTCTTGTTTGGGGAGCTCGGTCAGAACAGTTGGAGGACGATCTGGAACTGGATTGCTTCTACAGGAGCCCAGCATTTCTCGCTTGCTCACTTCCTTCTTGTTCCTCTGCCATTTCCTTCTCGAATACGGAGAGTTGAAGGACCCAAGTGTTAGTTTGGGTAAAATAATATATATAAACTATGATTGTAAGTTTAAGTGTGTGTCACTTTAAAACTGCAAAGCATGTAATTTTGGGTGTGGTGTGAAACCACCATAAGAGGGAGCAAGAGAACCTGATTGATTGCTGACAATTACTGGATTGCATGGGATTGATGGTTTGTTAACTGCGTGTTTCCCCTACTGCTGAGTTGCTGAAGGAAGAGAGGAGTTTTTTGAGTTCTTCATATCTCTACTGCGAGGAGATATATTACTGGACTGATATTTGTAAGTTTACTGACCTCTCTTTTTCGACACTGGAATTTGCAACTGAATAATCCCCGGACAGACTGAATTAGTGAATGATATATGGACTGTTTGACTATGCTATAACTCTTATTGGAATAAACTATTTAATTAGCACTGTGTATCTGTTTTACTGAGTGTAAGCTACAAAAACTTTTATCTCACATATTTTTGCCTGCCTGCCTGGCTGCCGTGCAGATTCTGCTAGGGTGTATCCCTAACACCAAGTCTTGCACTCTCCCCCACCCACCCCTTTGCCCTGGCAAGAATAAAGGCTAAACTCCTGGAGCACCTGCCATACCTGAAGAGCTGCGGCCGCGCGGCTTCCCAAGGCTGCTTCCGCCGGGAAGGACCGAGGAGCCCCTGAGCTGAGTGTGATGGTACCAGCCGCTGGGCGGGGTGTCTCCCACGGCCCGATGGAGGTTCCGCTTGCTGGGAAGGAAGACCGGAAATGAAACGATCGCCTCTTCGGATCCGTTATCAGACAAAGCGTAGAGCAGATCGGCATGATAATCTTATTTTTCCCTTGTCAATAGTAACCTTGCTTTTAACCGACCGGTTTCCGTATTTATTATGCTGTCTGTCGACCTCCCAGAGTCACTTGGGTGAGATGGGAGGTGTAGAAATTTGATAAGCAAAGTAACATGAAATTAAACATGAAATTTATTAAATCCCCCCCCCCCCCCGCCAATTTTTGCCGCTGCCCCCAAAATATGCTATGCAGCCAGCCATCTAACAGCTGATTTGTGCACTAGCTATTCCATTTTTGAGCCTTGCAATTATTTTTAATTTGCCAACGTGGCTCTTTGTCTCGTGGTTTAGTGGTCACTAACTGGATGCCTGTGCTTTGCCACAAAACTATGTGGTCGGATTTAGATTTTGGGGAGGAAAATAAGGGGGAAAAAAATTCTGCCTCTGCCTACCGGCACCCATCGGTATTCATCTGGCTAGCGTCCTGTCAGTGTGTGAGGGAGTTGAGGGCTGTTTGGAAACTGAAAAAGTATTTGCTGTGTGAGCAAGGAGACGACAGCAAGGAGCCTGGGCGTGGCTTAGCTCAACTGTTCTGGACTAAAGCTGATTGCTGCCATGAAATTAAACCTGAAACTCCTTTGCTTGTGTTTTGCCTTTGGAAGAGATTTCTTTTCAGGTGGGGAGGGGGAGTAGAAGTCCTTAGCATCAGAGCGTGTTAATAATAATAATATAGGAAATATTCCAAATGCTCTGAGGGTCATTTCGAAAAATCTTTTCTTAGTGAGCACTTAGAAGCCAAGAGGAAAATAGGTGCCAAATTTCAAGTTTGTAGGCTTTACGGTTCTGGAGATTTTGTGATGATAGCATTTCGCTTTTTAATATATAGATTCAGGCCAAGTGTGGACAAGAACTCTGCTTAGCGGACTGGAGAAAAAAAGCCATTTGTGCAGGAAAGTCCACTCACTTTTTCTGTTCGATCTCCTTTTGTTTCCGTTCCTTGGCCTTCACGAACGCTGTCGGGTCAAAGCGAGAGGTCCGGATACCTGCAGTCGGAAAAGAAGGCGAGGAATGGACTTGTAAGGAATCTGTTTTGGCTACAGGATGGGATTTCCAGACATAAACATTGTAAGGAAGAGCTATACTTGATCGTACATGTCATTACTGCGGCAAGAATGCTATTTGCCCAGAAGGGGAAGGAGAAAGAAATCCCTAGCGAAGATGGAAGCAATAAACAAAATTCTGATAAAAGCGCTGCAATGGATAGACTAACCCTAGAGATGAAAAATAAGGATGAATCGGAATATTAGATAATCTGGAATAGATTTTTATCATTGGTGGGGACAGAAAGGAAGGACCTAAGATGGAAATGAGTTGCTGAGAGGATATCCGAGACTATGAGACTAAGGATGTTGGAGGATGTAATTAAGGATGAATAAATGTATATATCAACTAAAAAAAAAATGCTCCTTTGGTCTTTTTAGTTGCCAGCAGAAAGGGAATGGGGGAAAGCAGTGCATTCCTTAAATGCCTCAGATAATCACCCTGGCAGCCGAAGCTGTTGGCACACAAGATTATTACTGGAGAGCATGATTGGTGACTCTTGGCTATGGATGTGTCCCATTGGAGAATATACATCCGGGGGGTGGGGGGAAGGCCAGGGTCAAGGAGGAAATGGATGATGTGTTTTAGTGTCGGCTGCACCCAGCTAACGCCGACATGGTCACTCCTAATAAATCATTTGTTTTTACTGAGAGATGTGTCTAGACTTATGATTTGAATGGGGGTGGATTTGTTGGAGCCCTGATAGTATATATGTGTGTGTGTGTGTGTGTGTGTGTGTATACATACACACACACATAAAAATGTATATAAGATCTATATTATACTAGAATGTTGACCAAAAGTTATGTCAAAACAACTCCACCACGTTCAATGTTTTTAAATGTTATGTTTTATAAAAATTATTATTTTAAAAAAATGTGTTTTATGCTTTTCTAAGGAAGCCTAAGTCAGAATAACCCACCTGTCGGAGAAGGAGACTGGCGGGAGAGGCGGCTCTGTTGGCTCCCACTGCGCCCGTCCCTGGAAGTGGATCGCGGCCGGCTGGCTGCCCAGGGTACGCCGCTGCTGCGCTCCTGGGAATGGGACCGTTCATATGAGGCAGAGCGATGGCCGCCTCGCTTTGGGATGCCGCCTCGGTTCAGGCTGGGAGGAGAGAGAGAGGGCAAGAGGAGGTTTTGAGAGGGGAGGCGGGTAGTTGTTGGCGGGTTCGCCAGCAGCAGGTGTGGGACAGCCGAGGTCTCGGAGAGCGAGGACTCAGGTGAGGGGCCTGCGTGTGATGCAGGGGTGGGGCCAGGACCCTCAGGGAGTGGAGCGCGGCCTTCGGAGATTGTGGAGGCTGGCGGCAGTCACAGGGCCGTTAAGGGGAACCCACGCTCCCAAATGGGCATTTTTGCGACTCAGGGATACGGCAGATGTTGAACCAGCTGCCAGGGGGCCAAAATGGGACCCAGTGACTGTGGAGGTAGCCTTGAGGAAGAGTTGTGTGTAACGTTTGGAGACGGCTGTAACTTTGAACGGTCGTTAAGCGAGGACCACTTGCCTTCCCTTTTTGTATAAAGCCAGCTCGTTGGTTAGGTTCTTCACGCGGATCCGGAGGCTTCTCTCGGCCGCTTTCACTTCGGCCAGCTGTGAGGATCGGAAAGAGGGATCAAAGAGGGCGTTGTGTGGAAGACAACACACAAACCACAACCATAATGGAAAACGTTTGTAAGCTCAGGGTTGAAAGTGGGCAGCGGGGGTGTCCTTGGTGGTCTTGGAGCTTGGGGCGTGGTTCCTGCAGACATTTCATGACCCAAACTAGGGAACGCGAGCTCTGACCCTCTAGTCATCAGGTAGAACTGATGGTGTTACCTGGCTGGGTCGTGAAACGTCTGCAAGAAAACCCTCAAGCTCAGAGGACACTGATTGAATGAGTGAAGAAAAGAAAAGAAAAGAAAAGAAAAGAAAAGAAAAGAAAAGAAAAGAAAAGAAAAGAAAAGAAAAGAAAAGAAAAGAAAAGAAAAGAAGGAAGGAAAGGAAGGAAAGGAAGGAAGGAGGGAAGGAAGGAAGGAAGGAAGGAAAGGGAGAGGGAGGGAGGGAAGAAGGAAAGAGGGGAGAAAGGAAAAAAGAGAAGAGAGGAAAGAGGGAGGGAGGAAAGAGGGAAGGGAGGAAAGAGGGGAGGGAGGAAGGAAAAGAGGGAGAGGAAAGAGGAGGGGAAGGAAGGAGATGGAAGAAAGAGGAAGGAAAGGGAGGGAGGGAAGGAAGTAGATGGAAGGAAGGGAAGGAAGGAAAAGAGGGAAAGAGGAAGGAGAGGGAGGGAGAGAGGAGGGAGGGAAGGAAAGAGGAGAGGAAGAAAGGGAGGGAGGGATGATGGAAAGGGGAGGAAGGAAGGAAAAGAGGAAGGAGGAGGAAGCAGGGAAGAAGGAAAGAGGGGAGGAAGAAAAGAGGGAGGAAAGAGGAAGGAAAGGGGAGGAAGGAAGGAAAAGAGGGAGGGAGGAAGGAGGGAGGAAGGAAACAAAAAAGAGGAACGGAGGGAGGAAAATCACTGATGTTACCTATTTGGGTCGTGAAATGTCTGCAAGGAAACCACTAAGGTCAGAGGCCACAGAGGGAGGGAGATCACTGAGGATGTTACCTAATTGGGTCATGAAACATCTATCCGACGCGGCCTTCCTCTTCCTCCTCCTCCTTTCCCTACAACAACCACAACCCTTTGAGGTGGGTTGGGCTGAGAGAGGGAGGGAGAGGGACCGGCCCAAAGCCACCCAACCCTTTCATGGCTGAGGCAGGGCTAGAACTCCCGGTCTCCTATTTTTCAGCCTGGTGCCTTAACCACTAGATTGCACGTCCTTTCCGCAACCCGATGCGGTGGTGGAAAATCCAAACCTCTGAACTTGGAAACCGGGTGATAAATAGCATTTTTTTCAAGGGGCGTGTGTGTCTCTCTCTCGTAACCCCAAACGAGCAGCTCCCAGACCGGGCGGGGCTTCTGCCTACCTCGTCCGCCAGCTGCCGGCTCTCCTGCAGGCGCCGGGTGGCCAGGCGCTGGTGCTTGGCCCGCTCCTTGGCCAGCTGCTCTTCCAGCGTCTCCACCACCTTCTTCAGGATCTTCACCTCCTTCAAGCCGCTGCCCTTGGTGGCCAGCTCCTCCTGGGAGCTCAGCAGCACCGACTCCATCAGCTGCTTCTCCTCCAGAGCGCGCTGCAGCCTGCAGGGCGGGGCGGGGGGGGGGGGGGGGGGGGGGGTGAGAGAGAGAGAGAAATAGACAGATATATATATATATATTTTCTGAGGTTCTTGCGGGTATTTGTATGTGGATCTTTGGTTATTCGGGTTTTCTCCCGCGTAAGATTGGAAGTATCTAGGTAACGTTTCGATGAAGTCTCATTCATCATCTTCAGGCTTGTGTCTTCGGCTCTGTGCTTCGGATCTTACGCGGGAGAAAACCCGAATAACCAAAGATCCATATCCATATCCATAGTCACTCTGAGAAGCACAGAGCCGAAGACAGAAGCCTGAAGATGATGAATGAGACTTCATCGAAACGTTGCCTAGATACTTCCAATCTTACGCGGGAGAAAACCCGAACAACCAAAGATCCACATACAAATACCCGCGAGAACCTCAGAAAATATATATATATATATACACACACACACACACACACACACACACACACACAGAGAGAGAGGGAGGGAGGGAGGGAGGGAGGAAGAGAGGGAGAGAGGCAGAGAGATAGACAGATGATATATAGAGCAGCAGATATTTTAGGTCATAAATGGAGGACTACCTTAAGATTTAATTTAATTGCTCTCTCCAATTTAACTCCTGGCTCTTAGACCCCCAAGTTGTCAACTCATCAAATATTTCTCTGGTCTTTTTAGAGTTGCCAACAGAAAGGGAGGGGGGGAGCAGTGCAGCCGCTTGGAAACTGAAAGTGCATTCCATAAATGTTTTCAAAGATAGTAACTAGGTGACCGAAGTTTTCTGCCGTGCACAATCCTAATTGGAGAGCATGATGGATGACTCTTGGCTATGGACGTGTCCCATTGGAGAATATGAATTAGGATACACCCAGGAGGGTGGGGGGGAAAACCAGGGTCAAGGGTGACAATGAATGATGTGTCTCAGAGTCGGCTACACCCAGGCAGTGCAGGCATGTTAACTCCCCATAAATCCTTTTGAAGTTTTGGAAGTTTGGCTCGAGACTCAGGATTTAATTGGGGGTGACTGCCGGAATCTTGACACAGGCCTCCAATTCTATCCCTCTGTGTATTCCAAGGAGTGTTTGCAGACCCCCGCCCTGTCTCCGGATCTACCCGCCCTCCTTTTCGGTCTCACTCACTCCTCCCGAAGACGACGGATCTCCACGTCCCGGAAGTCCTTGCCTGGCTTAGCCTTCAACATGGCCAATTCGTCCTTCAGCTCCCGGATCACTTTCTGCAGGACCACCGGATCCGGCTTTCCGACGTAGGGCAGGGGTAGGGGGTAATGGATCCTGCCGGGAATCGAGACAACCAGGCCGCAAGTCAGGAATGGCGGAAGACTGGGACAAATCCCAAACAGGCTCACAGGGTCGAGAGCCGAGGTCTCCTCGATGCCCCAAGGGGGGGGGCGGGGGATCCCAAATCCAGCCGCCATTTTGAATTTCTGGCCATATACAACGGCGGGGTGATGGCAACTTTACAATCTGTGGACTTCAACTCCGCCAAAAGAAAATATTTAAAGCCTGGTTCCAGGTAAACCCCCCCCAAACCTGCCTGTCAAATTCCACGGAGTAAATCAGGATGAGGTAACGCTTGGAGTTCAAGGGGGAGGTTTTGGAGGCTGAGGGATGTCGGGGTCCCATCCCGATTTTCCTGTTCCGCAGCGCCTCCAGGTCCGCGTAGGTGAGGAGGTCCAACGTTACAGACTCGCTGCTCTGTTTTAAAGAGAGAAAAAGACACACCAGATTGCTCCCAGAATCGTTCACACAAACAGGTTTTGGAGTCCAAAAGCTTGTTACTAATCAATAAGAATGTCAGGGTTCCAACGGACGCCCTAATTAATTCATGAGCCGCCAGCCAAGTTTCAAAAGAAATCCAATTATTTATTAGGAGCAATCTGTCGGCACTTTTCCCAAGTGCAGTCGGTTCTGCCCTACGTAATTTATTGCCAGCCTATGACCCCGTTTTCCCCCCTCCTCCTCCCAGGGTATGTCAAAAATCACATTCTCCAACGGAGCCCTTTCTCGGGCTGTAGAAAATTCACTTTAAACGTCTCACTTGGCCACAGAAATGTTGTCGCAAGTCGAGGACTACCTATGTATAAGCAAACAGGAGGTGGCAGGGAGGAGGATGGAAGATAGGGCCAACCCCCGTCTTGATAAATCTTCGTGCTGAGCCAGAGTCTGAATGTAGGCCCAGAACCAGAGGTGATATTCACCTGGTTCGGACCGGTTCTTCAGAACCGGTAGCGGAAATTTTGACCAGTTCAGAGAACCAGCAAATACCGCCTCTGACTGGCTCCGCCCACCCGCCACACCCTTTCCTGTCCTATATTCCACTGATTTTTACCTCAGCTGATTCGTGCGGCAAAGCAGATTGCCGCGCCTCAGCTGAGGTAAAAAACAGCTCACCTCACCGAGGGCGATATTTGAGTTCTGCGCGCACATGTGAAGTGATCCTTGAGTTCTATGCACACGCGCAGAGATCTTTTGAGTGTCGCACGCGCATGCAATGTGATCTTTTGAGTGCTGTGTGCGTGCAGGAAGTAATCTTTGAGCGCAGGGTATGTGCGCGAAGCACACAGAATCGGTAGCACACAATTTGGAATCCCACTCCTGCCCAGAATGTGAAAGTGCTGCGTGGGGGGGGCACACGTACCGGAAGCTGGTTCGTGCCTCACCTGAGCCAGGGCGGATTCCAGCATGTTGCAGAAGATCCCAAATTGCTTGAAATTCCCCGTTTTGTGGGTCAGATCTTCAATAACTGCGCGGAGGGGGGGGAACGAGGGGAGAGAGAGAGAGAGAGAGAGAGAGAGAGAGAGAGAGAGAGAGATCTGAGTTTCTCAAGAAACGGCTGCATTTCAAGGACGGGAGGTTTGCAGTCTTACCTGCTTTCCATCTCTGGGGTCCTGGCAAGGGGCGGGTGAGTGTGCAAAACCCCATTTGCACAAGCAGCAGGCACACACAGTTCCATTTGCACTGAACCATCCTCTCTCTTCCCCATCCCCACCCTTGGAGCCACCACTGCGCAGAGCCAGAAAGGTTCGGGACCTGTTGCGGCCTATTAGCCGCCAGTCCCTCCGGCTGCCAAATCAGAGGAGGTGGCGGCGTGGGAGTCAGGGCAACTGTGAGCTCCAAGAGAAAGACAGAGAGGCGGGTCCCGGGCCATCCGTCAGCCCTCAGATGGAGAGTCAACAGCCCCCAGGTCTGGAGGTGGCTGATGAGGAAGACTAGGAACAGCTGGGCCCAGTGCCTGATACATGGATGGCAGAAGGCAGAGGAGAGGAGAGAACAGGGGAAATCTATGAGCCGGTCCTTAGGACGGAAAAGTCACCACTGCTAGCGAAGCCCCACCCTCGCTCTGGGGAGAAAAGGCAGTGGGAGGAGGTGAATAGATGTGGCAGACAACTATTCACCTCCGTACCGGACAGGCTTATTCGCCCGCCGTGAGAGAGAAACGTTTTGTCGGGGCTGCCGGCATTCCTAATAAAGGAATCTTTTGAGTTCACGTCAGAGAGTTTGTCTTGTTTCAGGAGCTCAGTCAGAACAGGACCAATGGCTTATGAGGATGAGGGGGTGTTTTCTTGACCACCATGTGCCCAATGACCAGGCAAACTAGACAGGTTTACCGCTGCAAAGCTTCCTCAAGATTCAGGATGACCACCCCCCGCCCCCCCCGGAGCCTCTTCCCCACCATTGTCCCTCCCTCCCCCAACCTTCTCGCCCGTCCTCCCAGACTCACAAGCCGCGTCGAATTCCCCTCGCCACTGGTCAGTGGTTAGCCGGTCTTCCACCTCCACTTCGAGCAGGTTCCCTTCCGTTGTCATCCGGATGACGTGCTCCATTCCGCGGAAAACATAGTCGACCTGCAGGCCGTAGTCGGTTTGTTTGGCCATGGCGAGACCGGGACGCGCTCGTCACCTGCTTGGGGACAAGAGAGGGGAGGTGTTTCTACTGACACGCCAAAAGGGGACCTTCTGACCTGGTGCCATGGGGACTCCGTGTGGCCTTCACAAGTTGTGGGTGAAGCATCACGGGAGGTTTTTGAAGGTTTTTAGGGTTTCGTATTTGAGCAGCGGGGTTGGACCAGAACAGGGGTCTCCAACCTTGGCCACTTGAAGACTTGTGGACTCCAACTCCCAGAATTCCTCAGCCAGCTTTGCTGGCTGAGGAATTCTGGAAGTTGAAGTCCACAAGTCTTCAAGTGGCCAAGGTTGGCGGAGGAATTCTGGGAG